GGGGGAGAGAAGATCCGCGGGACGAACGAGCCGTCCGCGCGATGCGGAATCTGACGCTCCACCCCACGGTGGGTCAGTCCCTCTATTCTTAGGTACCATTATTTACGAATTGCGCGCAATCATTTCACGTTCCGCTCGCGGGGAATACGCGAGCGACGGAAATCGCAATCCGCGGAGGAATTTACCGCTACGCGCTCTTAAAGGCGCGGAGCGTCTGTGCGTGAGGTCTGTCGGATCAACATCTCGATGGCGCGATTTTCGGGATAATGGATCTCGCAGCCGCGCACACGTGCGCGGTTTAAAAGCCGCGTTTTACTTTGTGCTCAAATCCCCGCTGGCCGCTCTATTTTCGCCGATGATCCGGGATTCCGCGGACGGGCGCGATCCTAAACGCGCGCGTCACGCGGCAAACTTCTCGCGGCGTGCTTCGACTTCGCCCTGTTTGTCCATGTCGAGATGGGCAGGGAAACCAGGCTCCTCCGCTGCTCTTTGGTCGTCTCGCGCGTTTCGTTTCGACGGTTTGGTCGATTAAAAACATCACGATACGTCCCGTGCCCACGTGCACTTGTTGCGCGTTACGTATTGTTACGTATTGGATAACTCGTTCTGTCGGCAGAAACACCTTGAAATTAAAATCTTGCTCGAGAAAAAAGAAAGAGCATTCATGTATTAGTTGCAATATAATCGTTACGTATATAATTTTTGATAGAAAATTATTGTACAAATATTATTTTATTGAAAAAATTGTTAATTATGTATTTCAGAGATATCGTAAAATGTAAGCATAATGAAAGAAAAGAGAGAAAAAAGGCATGTTATTAGATACTTTATAAATTATTTAAATTATGATTATTATTATATGATTGAAAAAATAATTAGTGACATAATAATGATATTGCGATATAGATAGCACGAATCAATAAATTATAGAATTATAAGTTAGCAAGCAAGTTTAATTATTTTATTTCGCGAAATAATTATCGTATCCCAATATGTTTATTAGGTGAAATAAAGCGGATGTTATTAAAAAAGAAAACTAATATCATATTTTTAATTTTTCTTTAATTTTTCTCACTTTTAATTGTGCAATTTTTATCGTTTATCGTTTATCGTTTTTATCGTGCAGTTTTTATCATCTTCTCTTAGTGGTACGTATGTACGAGTTGGAGCAACTGAATGTTGTATTAACTTTATCGGATATTTAATTGCGACTTTTTTAATTAACTTTATTATATATATCATTCTTTAAACGCGAAATTGATAAAAATATCGAGTATACACGAGCGAAAAATTAATCGTGCGGTTAATCATCGAAGATCGACTTTAAATTGAGTGATAAAAAGTTCCTGGTTTTTTCTTTCAAATATTTTTTATTTAAGAGAGATTAGCTCGTATTTTTAGTTAAGAGAGATTACCTCGTATCTTTTTCCTCTACATCAAAAAGCTCTTAGAGATGCTTAGGAAGATGAGACTATCCTATCGAATATTTATATTTCATTTTAGTGAAATAAACGATTAACTTTTTCTATATCACATCTGATTCTGTCGAGGTGTAGAAAGATTTAATACGAAAATGAAATATCGGCAATATTCGATAAGATCAAATTTTTAACACCTATAATAATCTTTTATTTTTAAATTTATATACAAATTTTCTACGTTGCCAATCGCGGCTCAATATCAAACTAAATCTTCTCTCTATTTAATAAATATAGAAAGATTTGTTTGTTGAAACAAGTGAAACAATACGATACATCTTCAATTTTGCAAGAGAAAAAAGTGTTAGAAATGTAAATATCGAGCAGCTCTGGATATTAATTTTAAGAATGAAGAATAATCAGCAAAAATATTTATGCGCACATTTCGTTTTCTTTCTTTCGTTTATTCTGTAGATGGTTTTAAGGGCGACATCGTGCTCTGGTGCAAACTGTTACTGCCCGGTGCCGTGAAGAGAATTTATAATCTACAGAGCAAGCAGCTGATAAAATTGTTCGCGCGAATGCTGCTCCAGGACGAGGACGCGATGCTGGAGCATCTGGAGCAAGGCGACGTGGCCGAGACGATCAGCGAATTCTTTGAAAATAGTGCTGCCGTGTCGCCTTGCGCCGCGAGCGTATTGACGATCCAGGACGTAAGTTGAAAAATCGACGTACAATTTTTTTTTCTTCTTTTTACAAATTTGGAGAAAGAAAAGAAATGAAGAAAAATGACAACAAAATCCAAATCCAAATTAAATTTAAGAATAAGAATATTTGGTCCGATCATTGCAACGATCCACGATGAAATTGAAGCTAATTTGAATTTAGAAAAATTGAAAAATATGAAAAAATTCTTCATTTTGCTAAAGAATTAAAACTTTATTCGAGCGAGTTCGATCCGTCCATTTGATTATAATCCATCAGTAATAAAAATTTATTAAATAATTTGGAGCTGAGAACGGAAGATAATGAAATGAAATTTAACTTTGTGTGGAATTTTCCGAATTTTAATTTACCGCGCGCGATAAATTAAAATAAATGCAGGATGAGGTTTTATTAATTTTTATTTATCTTTATTAATGAGCGTCGGTTTTATCGTCGGACAGGTTGACCTTTTTTTGGAAAGGTTGTCGCATTTGACCAAGGAGGAGGAGCAGATGCATCATTTTCGATCTATCCTCGATAAGTAAGTTCGTTGATCGGCCGTTCTTTTCGTTAACCTTTCCGGCTACGGCATCTCTTTATAAAAAATGTCTTATCGACGAAACAAATACATAAAAGCACCGCGGTTACGTCGCTTAGCCCCGATATATCCAATTGGTATAAAATAGCGATAAAACCATTTTGCAATTAACGCATGGAGTCTGAATTGCTCGCAATTTATCTTTATTTATTTACTTAATTTATATTCTCTTTATTATATCTTTTTTAAAATTTTGCCATTTCGAATTGCGTTTGTTTTCGCCGCACGAGAGATATATCACTTTTACAGAGATTGTAAATGCAGTTCTTCCTTCTACCTTTTTTATGTTTATTTTTACTTGTAACCTTTTGCGAACGTTCGATAAAAATTTTAGATGTACCGCCAACGATCTGAAAATGATAGTACGTCTGATCAAGCACGATCTGAGAATCAACGCCGGGCCGAAACACATGTGAGTATACGCTCAAATACGTTGCAAATCTTTTTTACAATTGGTTTTTCGATGATGATTATTAAAATGTACACACACACACACACACACACACACACACACACACACACACACACACACACACACACACACACGTACGTCGTACGT